TGTTATATTTAATATTTTTTATTTTAAATTTTACCACTTTAAACTTTGGGTGATTTATGTCTTTTGATTGGACTCTGACAAATACAGAACTGGTGCTAGGAAGGGTTCTGGGAGACAGACCCACACAGATGGGATTTGGGCATAGGTTTGGTTATCCAAAGGGCAGCATTGAGCTCCTTGTCAATGGGAAATGGGATGCTGGCGAATTTTAGGAAGTAACCTCATAATGTTTCAAGCTACCACTTACTGTTGATTGTGATGAAATGCCAGCTGAGACATATGCCTTGGGAGCTAAGTGGCTTCTGTACTTGACCACTATGAAGACTGATGTGGAAAGGGTTCTTTTGGATGCACTTGAGCAGGGGTGCCCAATCCCTGAATTACAGTCCTATACTTGGCCACACAGCAGGAAATGAGCAGCAGGTGGTTGAGCAAAGCTTCATCTGTATTTACAGCCACTCCCCACCTTGCTGCCTGATCTCCAGCTCCTTTCAGGTCAGTGGCAGTGTTAGATTCTCATAGGAGCAGGAACCCTATTGTGTAACTGTGCATGCAAGGGTTCTACCTTGCTCTGTCCTTATGAGAATCTAATCCCTGATAATCTGTCACTATCTTCCATAACCCCCAGATGGGACCGTCTAGTTGCAGGAAAACAAACAAGCTCTGGACTCCCACTGATTGTACATTATGGCAAGTTATATAATTTTTATTATATACTACAATGTAATAATAACAAAGTGCACAGTAAATGTAATGTGCTTCAAATATCCCAAAACTGATGCCCTGCCCCCAGTCTGTGGACAAATTGTCTTCTATAATATTTGTCCCTGGTGCCAAAAAAAATGGGGACTGCTGCACTTGAACACTCACAGGGAGAAAAATACAAAGCTCAAGTCTTAGCATAAGTCATGGTCTAAAATCCAGAGAGTTTCCCTGATAGCCCAAATGCAATTCCTTATTTCTTGTATCTACAGTGCTTATATTATTGAAAATCAAATACAAACTTAAATGTGTGAATTGCTGAATTACAATGACAGTTGAATTCACTATGTCACCATAGTTCTCATAAGAACATTGGAGCACTAATAGGTGAAGAATGGGATTTTTTTTCTTTTTGAGACAGTCTCCCTCTGTTGCCCAGGCTGGAGCAGAGTGGTGCGATCTTGACTCACTGCAGTCTCAACCTCTTGGGCTTAAGCTATCCTCCTGCCTCAGCTTCTGGGGTAGCTGAGGTACGACCACAGGTATGAGCCACCACACCCCAACTAATATTTTGTGTTTTGGTAGAGATGTGGTTTTATCATTGCTCAGGCTGGTCTCAAACACCTGGGCTCAAGCCATCTGCCTACCTTGGACTTCTAAAGTTTTGAAATTATAGGCAGAAACCACCATGCCTGGCTCTATTTTCTTTTACACTGGTTTATTGTGAAGGCCTCCAGTTGTCTTCCTGACTTCTAGGCTTGCTCACTTCAGCCTGTTCACTGAAGCCAGAGGAATTTTTCTAAAAGGCAAATTTGGGTCAAAATGGTTCTGGATTAAAACCTGCTGGTGAGTGCCCATTGCCTTTATGATAAAGTCCAAACTGATTTGGGCATAGGGCCTGGTAAGAGCTGGCCTCAGTTCACCTTCCCAGTTTTATTCTGCATCACCCTTTCCATATTCCTACCCTCCAGCCACATGGAATGTCAGTTTCCTTGGGGGACTTTACTAGTCCTTCTTCAGGAAACCCTCCCCTACCCTCATCATCACTCTTTCACTCTCATATTTGCTCATCTTTAGTCTCAGCCAAGATGTCTCACTCCATTCTGTGTGATGTGACAAGAAGCCCCTTGGGAGCACTTCAGTCCCATTCTGTACTTCTGTCATTGTGCTCATCACAGTCTGGTAAGCGTTAGCGTATGATTCCTATATTAGTCTATTTTGCATCACTATAAGGAAACATATGAGGCTCAGTAGTTTACAAAGAAAAAATGTTGGCCATGCATGGCGGCTCATGCCTCTAATCACAGCACTTTGGGAGGCCAAAGTGGGCAGATCATAAGGACAAGAGATCAAGACCATCCTGGCCAACATGGTGAAACCCCATCTCTACTAAAATTACAAAAATTAGCTGGGCTTGGTGGTGTGTACCTGTAATCCCAGCTACTCAGGAGGATGAGGCAGGAGAATCACTTGAACTCAGGGGTTGGAGGTTGCAGTGAGACTACATTGCTCTACTGCACTCCAGCCTGGATGATAGAGTGAGACTCCATCTCAAAATCATAATCATCATAAGAAACTTAGCCGGGTATGGTGGTACATGCTTGTAATCCCAACTACTTGGAAGGCTGAGGTGAGAAGATCACTTGAGCCCAGGAGATGGAATCTGCAGTGAGTCATAATCACCTCACTGTACTTCAAACCTGTGTAACAGAGGTGAACTCTGTATCAAAAAAAGAAAAAAAAAAGATTCATTGGGGAGAAAAGACTAAACAAGCAAAGGTGTCAGGAGAGTCCTGTGAATGTGAGTCATGTCAGCAGAGTGTAGGGACTACTGGGCAGGAGAGACTTGAAGAACAGGTTGGTGGAGACCAGGTCATTCATCCTAAGCAGCCTGCCCTGTAGCATGTAGATCAAACATCCCATGTTGGCTGCTGGTGACTGAACTGGGCTTCCTGTTTCTGTTTGGTTTGACCATCACAATGTTGAAAAACCTTGAAGTGAATCCCTTGCAGTTCGCTACAGTTCCTCCTGGTCTCTGGCTTTACTCCAGCCTCCTTTCATCATGTAGGTTGTCTGACCCACTGAGACCTGTGTTTGCTCTCCCTGCAGATGGGTGGGTGGGAGGTGAACTAAGGAGGAACATTTAATTATGAGAAGATTTTATATATGTAGAGAAAGATAAATAGACTGGGTGTGGTGGCTAAAGCCTATAATTCCAGCACTTTGGGAGGCCAAGAGAGAAGGATTAGTTTGACCTAGGAGTTCAAGACCAGCCTAGTCCACATAGTGAGACCCCTTCTCTACAAAAATTTTTAAAAATTAGCCAAGCATGGTGGCATGCACCTGTAATCCCAGCTACTTGGGAGACTGAAGTGGGAGGATTGCTTGAGCCCAGGAGTTGAAAGCTACAGTGATCTGTGATATCACCACTGTACTCCAGTCTGGGTGCCAGAGTGAGACCCTATCTCAGAAAAATAAGAAAGAGATAAATAGATCCAGCATTGGCGGGAGTGTGCTTTTGAGTGCTCGTTAGGAAAAAAATATATATTTTAATATTTTTTTCTTTAAATTTTTTATATTCTGGCAAACCATTTCTTCAACAAGGAGAAATTAATCTCACCCAAAGAGCCCTAGGAGCAAGGGCAGACTCAAACTCAGAGGCACTGTAATCACTATGAGCAGCTTCTATCTTCAGACTGCTAAGCTGGCCAGTGCCAGGCTGGGTCCATTTTCTCCTATTTAATTTCTCAAACTGAAAGAGTCCTGCTGGAATCTGAAGTCAAATCTGTAGGTCAGCATTGACTCAGCAGTCTGCTATGTTGTGAGGCCTTATACCAGGATCTATGGAATACAAAATGCAAGAGAAAGCTGGAATAGAGCATCTCCCAGGGAAATGAGAGTCAGAGATACAGCGGTGCCCCATGGAGACAGCCAGCTGTTATTTGGCAGTGAGATCTCCACAGTCTGGAATGTGGCATTCGATATTATTGGTCCCCAAACTCCAGTTTCTAATGTTCCCTGCATAGGTCGGTGTCATAGGGAGTGATTCATCTTAGCAGAACTTCCTGTTTTTTATGGCAGGTGTTCCATTTATTAATTGACAAAGGAGGCATATTTCTTCCCTGGTAACCTGAAGATTTAGGTCGTTTCCCTAGGGACTCCCTTGAAGGTTCTTGGAAAACTAAGTAGAGGATGACGAAAGGCTGTAAACAAGCTTGCTCATCCCTTCCTGTCCTACAAAAAAGCACACCTCTTCTGTAACCAGAAGATCCTTTTCATTAGTCAAGGCTGGACAGACTGAGGGGTATGTGTGTGTGTTTTTTGAGACATGGTCTCACTCTGTCACCTTGGCTGGAGTGCAGTGGTGAGATCAGAGCTCACAGCAGCTTCCACTTCCTGGGTTCAAGCAATCCTCCCACTTAAGCCTCCAGGGTAGCTAGGACTATAGCAATGTGCTGCCATACCCAGCTCATTTTCTAATTTTTTATAGAGATGAGGTTTCACTGTGTTGCCAAGGCTGGTCTTGAACTCCTGGCCTCATGGGATCCTCCTGCCTTAGTCTCCCAGTGGTCTGGGATTATAGGTATGAAGCACCTCACCTGACCTGTGGTGAGTTTTCAACAATGTGATTCCTTTTTTACAGAAGCACCTAAGCTGAGGATTCCCTTGAGAACAAGTACTATCCTGTGGTTTCATGACATTTCTTCCATTTGTGGTTCTTTCCAAGTGAAATTTAAATGACATCTTATCAAGATGGATAAATCCAAGTTTCCAGTGCTGTAATATAGAAAATAGATGGACAAATAAGTCCCACACAACACCCATAGCCCAGGCATGGAGACATCAACACACCTGGGCCCCAGACATCACCTTTCATTGTGAGTAGCTCTGAGATGATATTTCTGGTTGGTAAGTGCCCACTGGCAATAGTTTATATAACAGCAAGAAGAAGGAATAGTCAACAAAACATTTTCTGTTCCCAATTCTAGCATTGATTAGATAATTATTTTATGAAAAATTTTCATATGCCGCAGTTCTGACCATATTCTTAAGAATCGGTGAACAGAAAAATTATATTAAAAAGTCAACCTTCTTTATGACTCTTGCCCAGACTGGAGTGCAGTGGTACAGTTATGGCTCACTGCAGCCTCAACCTCCTGGGCTCAAGCAGTCCTCCTTCCTCAGCCTCACAAGTAGCTGGGACTACAGGTGCTTGTGTGGATTTTGGTATACACAGATATGGGGGAGCTGAAACCAATCCCCCCATATGCCAAGGGACAAATTGTATCTCTTTTGTTTTGTTTTTGAGACAGTCTCGCTCTGTTGCCAGGCTGGAGCGCAATGGCACAATCTTCACTCACTGCAACCTCCATCTCCCTGGGTTTAAGTGATTCTTCTGCCTCAGCCTCCTGAGTGGCTAAGATTACAGGTACCCGCCATCATGCCTAGCTAATTTTTGTATTTTGGTAGAGACAGGGTTTCACCATGTTGGCCAGACTAGTCTTGAAGTCCTGACTTCAAGTGATCCTCTCGCCTCAGCTACCCAAAGTGCTGGGATTACAGGTGTGAGTCACTGTGCTGTGACTTTTTGTTTTTTTTTCGAGATGGAGTTTTGCTTTTTTTCCTTAGGCTGGAGAGCAGTGGTGCACTCTCAGCTCACCACAGCCTCCACCTCCCAGATTCAAGCAGTTCTCCTGCCTCAGCCTCCTGAGTAGCTAGGATTACAGGCACCACCACACCTGGCTAATTTTGTAGTTTTTAGTAGAGACAGGGTTTCTCCATGTTGGTCAGGCTAGTCTCAAACCCCTGACCTCAGGTGATCCACCTGCCTTGGCCTCCCAAAGTGCTGAAATTACAAATGCGAGCCACTGTGCCCAGGCTCTACCTGTTTTTACAATTATACTGTTAAATACATGATGTTCCATGACAGTGGTAAATTTTTAATGACAATTTTTAACTGAGTGGAATTACCATAAAAATGATAAAAGCAGCTAATATTTACTGAGCTGTCACTAAGTGCCTATGAATACCATAGATTTTTTAATTACCCATAACTCTT